TTCCTTAACAGCAACTCAGTATAGGCACCTATAGTCAACTCCTTAAAGGTGGATTGTGTAGGGGGTTATATAGAGGAGCAACATGGGGGTCATTAAGGGGGATACTAGGAGTTTAGACTATACTTCAAAGGGTTGAGGGTTTTTTGGTACGGAGCTTCTCTTTTGATTTCAACTGCGAAGTGGTGCAGTTGGCCATTCCGAACACATCAGCAGACAGCAGAAAAAGCTATGTCAACTATGCCTCGCATTTTGCCAGAGCAAATAAGCCTGGCACGGCCTGTGACGTGGCAACCTCCTTGACCAGAAACTTGCAAAGCAGAGGCGCACATTGAGTACTTCCGTGGCATCTCAAACCCGATAGGTGTGAAAGTCGGCAGGCACCTGAGTTTGGACTTTGGGGCCTTTTGCCGCAAAAGTTGGTGGTGACTCCACTCAGCTCACGTGCAGATCTAGAGCCGTGGAATCCGAGGACCTTCCATGAAGAACGATGAGCTGAAAGAACTGGTCACTGCTATGGCCTAAGCTTTGCCCTTCCTGCCTCACCTGAAACTCCCTCAGTGGCATGAAACGCCGGTGAAGAGTCGATGGGGCATGAAAGCTTGGAAAGGAAAAGGAGGGTTCTCCTCACTGAGGTCTTAAACCCCAACAAGGAGGAGGGCAGGCAATCGCTGCCATTTGAGCATGGAGCCTCGTGCTCCAAGTAGCACAACGAGTTCCACTTCCGCAGAATGCATGCCGGGTGTAGTGACGAAGAGGTCCTCGTGGATTCTGATGCTTTCTGAACGGTGCAGGCTGATGCTCATCACTCGCTATGGTGCTGGAAAGGCGGAGGAGCACCGTGTGCATCTGCTTAGGGCAAACCGGCTGTAACGAGCAGAAGTCCTCTCGAAACCAGCCGCTCTGCGATCTTCTCTCTGGCAAGCCTCGTGCTCCTGCTCAGAAAACAATTTTTTCCGCACGTTAACTCACCACGTCGAGGCAGTCACTGCTCATATTCGCAGTCCAAGAAACTCGAAGTTGCTTAGCTGTTAATTCCGTATGACGTGTGTTGAAAGGCCATGCTTCCAGGCCATATCCAGGCGGCCGATACCTTACTGCTTCTGTGCTGCCTCCCGACAGAACCCAACCCTGGCTCTTCCTAGGTGAAGGAAAGTGGCGTGCCTGTCGTATGGCGTTGCTCTAAGAGCGGATGGGGGCTGTTGCCAACTAGCTCTGCTTGAGGGGTCTGTATTTTCGAGGCAGTGTGATGGTGTCCACGGCAACGGTGTGGTTGCAAAGGCCAACAAGCTCAAAACACGCCGCTCGGATTGAATGGGGTCGGGAGGAATCAGCCTTGTGCTTGGCAGCCTGTGACGACGACAAGCTGAGATATTGCCTACACAAGGTCATTTCAGCGCCAAGTAGCATCGCAGGTTTCTTTGGGATCATCCAGTGAATGGCCGGAGCATCCTGCATGCGGAAGCAAGGTAATTTCAACGATATTCTGACGGAGATTACGGAGGCATGCCTCTGCAGCAGCCGGGTAGGGTGTTCCACTCATCCTTCTACCATCTGGATCAGTTGGATAGATGCATGAGTGCAATCTTGTGCTCTGTCTCAGAGCCCTTACAATACAAGCATGCCAAGAACTGCAGGAAGACATTTGCAGGATATCAGGGCATATGCCCGATATCAAGTTTGATATATGCGTATGTCTTTGAAGAACCGCAGACCTTTGGCTCCTTAGCGTTCTTGCTACATCTTCCGTAGCTGGCGAGATGGCATCAGCAATTTGGCGGCATAGAGGAGGCATTTCAAAACAGCGGATTCAGTATGTGTAGTTGGAGAACTCTATCACATGTCTTGGGCACTTGGGAGGACCCAGAAATTTGAGAAATACCCGGATGAAGTGGATCAGTGAATCCTGCACCCTAACCCCTAAGCCCTGAACCCTATCAAAGATGAACAACCCTAAGACCCAAATAGTATCTTATAGGGGAGATATAGGGGAGTGGAACATAATTTGGAAACTGCTGTCCCTGTATCACCAACAGTTTCTATGTTCATTGTCCGCTTCCTTTTCCATTTGATTGTCCACTCTTGGGGTAATATCCCTGAACCATTAGTGACCTCAATGATCGCTGCTGCAAAGCTCTTGCTAAGGTGAAGGTGGACCCGACATCACTGGTCATTGGAGTTGGGACCTGAGGTATGGGAGCTTCTCAAAATGGCCGGAAGTTGGGAACCCCTGAGGCACGCAGGGATTGTGAGCGGATGTACGGTGTGCCTGTTGAGGAATAGATAGGCATTGTTTTGAGAAGTCCTAATTCAAGGTATGGGTTCGATTTTGGTTTGGTGGGGACAGGGTTCCGTGAGTGCATTCATGTGGCCAAGCCTATCCCAAACCAAGGGTCAGTTCATTGGGCCTACAGCATGTCATCCCTCCAATTTTGCACGCAGTCACGCCAGGCAAGCTGGGCCCCACGGAGCTTTCGCTCTCTGATGCCGAGTCTTACTTTCCCACAGATGTGGAGCTACACAACCCCCGCCTTAAACCTTAAACCCTAAACCCGAAATCCTAAATCCTAAACCCTAAACCCCAAATCTGAGCAGATGCAAAAGTCCGAAGGGGTTGAACAAAAACCCTAGGTCCCAGACCGTAAATCCTACACCCTAAATCCTATCCTAAACCCCAAACCCTAAACCCTGCTTTGTGTTGCCAAGGTTGGACTGGGCGCCGTGGCCGCCTTTGTTGTGGCCAAAGCCACCATGAAGCCCACGCCGGTGAACCCCGGGATCGATGCCTGTCGGGGCTAGTGGGGAATTTAGGGTTTAGGCTGTAGGGGATAGGATCTGGGATTCAGGGTTTAGAGTTTAGGGTTCATGGTCTGGGGTCTAGGGTTTAAGGTTTAGGCTTTGCTTATTGATTCTGCTCCCTATGGATGGTTCCGTAAAGCATTGGAATGCCTTTGAGCTTCTGACGGTGCAAGTGCATCGCCCGGCAACATGCTCAGCCCGGGTTGCAAAAAAAGGCTTTAGGGTTTAGGATTTAGGATCCAGGGTTTAGAGTTTAGGGCTCAGGGTCTGGGGTCTAGGGTTTAGGGTTTAGGGTTAGTAGGGAACATGGGAATATAGGGGTACAGTATAGGGTTATTTAGGGACAATGAAAAATGGAAATTATGTCAGCCTTATGATTTTGTGCCTCCCGGGAGGGAGGAAGAACCCATCCCCCAAATGTCTGACATGAGGTAACATTGAAAAGAGCCCAAGGGCCAGCCCTTCACATTCTGAGTAAAGCCAACAGCAGGAGCGTCCAGTTTTGAGAAGCCAACATGTTTGCAATATCTTTTGAGTAGTATTGTATTTGGGGATACTATGGTACCCAATATAGAGAGTAAGACATCCTCCTTTTGGGGTATAGTATTTTGTATAAGAATATATTCTTACTGGGTTTAACCCTAAACCCTAAACCCTCGCGGGCAGTAAGGAGAAAGCATCCCCGAAAGTTGCCACAGCCAGAGCCTCAATGGAAACCTATAGAAGAGCTAGGACGGACAACCTTATTCAGGGGTTATATTGGGATAATGGAAAAGAAAATGGAAGCTACTATAATGGAGAATCAAATGGAAAAGAAAATGGAAAATGAAATGGAAACTAGGGAATATGTAATATTGGGAGAATGGAAAAGAAAATGGAAACTACTATAATGGGTTTATATAGGGATTCTATAGGGTCTATATATTGGGGTTATATTGGGGTTATATGGATAATGGAAAAGAAAATGGAAACTATAGGGATTATAGGGATTATATAGGGTTTATATAGGGTTTATATAACAACCTTATTTGTTTTTAGAACCTGCTGCTGAGGATCTCCGACAACAGTGTGCAAAACAGTCAGAGAAAACATCGATACATATGCTGCCAAGAGTAGTGCCGTCGCGAATAGAATTGGTGCAGTGGCCATCAAGCCGTCCCAGCATTGCTGCATGAAGAGGGAGCAATACAGGTCAAAACGATAAAGGACATCGAGGATGCCCTGAGCAAAAGTGCCTTGGCTTGAAAAGATCCTTAAATACTGAACCCTAAGCCTCAGCCCTGAGAAGGCTGTTGCCTTCCTCTGGGCCTCTGAACGTATTGGGATGTCATCTCCTAGAAGCATCGCCTGAAGCAACTTCAGGCCTGTCATGTAGATCCATGATTAATGAAGCCCCTCCTTTTTAAGGGCCTTAATGTTAGGATCCCTATGATAATACCGATTAAGGGGAGGGGGGTTATTGATTTAATCTCCCCCCAAACCCTAAACCCTAAATAGTAGTTTCCATTTACGTAATTCCATTATCCCGATTTAACTCCTATATAACCCGGGTCTGGGTTAATTAATCACAGACCTACATTAGTTGGGAGCACAGTGATGCTGGCCCAGGGTTTCTTGTACGCGCGTGCCTCGCTTGATGCGCAATTCCCGGCTATATAGGGTTGTATGGTGCAAAATACGGGTTATGTAGGGTTATTTCTAAGGGGTAAAATAGGGGTTATAACCTTATAGGGGCTGTATAGTGAGTATATGGGGTTATATGGGGTAATGTAGGATCATATAGGGGAAGTATAGGGATTGCATAGGTTTATGTGGTGTAATTTAGGGGTTATATAGGGATAATGGAAAAGAACATGCAAACTACAATTTCGGGTTTAAGGGTTTCCCAAAACAGGTGTACTTTTTGGAGGGGGTCCTGTGAGAAGTATTTTGGGGTCTATATTTGCACCCCCCCCTCCCCTCCCCGTTTTGCCGCAGGGAATCATTCCATGTCAAAAAACCAAGGCAGCAACGGCAAAGTCGCTTTCTGCCGTGTCCTGGCTTGCAACTGACTTGTTTGACCTCCGTTTCCGGGTTTCCCGAAATAGATTAGGAGGAAAACTTGTTATTGTGGGGGTGGGGGGTTTATTTTTGGCCCTGAACTGTAAATGCTCTAGTAGTTTCCATTTTCCATCATCACTATGTAATCCCCCATGCAACCCCTTCATAAGCAAGCAGATTCAGGCAGCCAAGCAAGATTTTCTTCGTAGAGTTGATGTGTTGTGCTAATCCCCTAATGTGGTCGCGAAGAAGAATAGGCAGGATACCTACTGTGAGGGTCAAGAGGACATAGTAAGTCGGTTCATAATGGGGATCTGGGGTTTATTATTTGTCCTATAGGGTACATTCATCTACTTCCTAAGCACCCCAGGCCAACCAAGTAGTCATAGGCATTTCGAGTTTCTACACCTCCCAAAATCCCATATTAGCAGCCAATATGAAGCCTATACAGTATCGAGCTCTGAAGTACAGAGCTTTATATGGCCAGTTTTGTGGGGGTTATTAAGGGGGATACTAGGAGTTTAGACCCTAAACCCAAAATCCTAAACCCTAAACCTTAAACTTTATCATTTGGGTTATTGAGGCGGATAAATGGAGTTTAGACTCTGGTCATAGTGTCAGCATGTCCAGTGTGTCAGGCTGCTGGCGCAGTGGCAAGTTCCCGCTCCTTGGCGCCAAGAAGGTGTGAAGGATGTTCAAGCGAAGCTCGCATGATCCATAATCTAAACTCCTTATTGGGGGTTGTATGGTAGTTTCCCAAAAATTCGGGGACCCCCCAATATAGACCCTAATATACTATAGTCCTTATTATAGGGGACCCCCAAACAGGTACCCATAATTTTGGGAAACCCCCATATGGGGGGATAGGGAAGCACTATAGGGGCTAGTCAGGCTAGCATTGCGCAAGGATTGAGAAAAGACACATGTTCTGGACTGGTCTGAAGAGGCTGACATGTTTGTGGGGTCCCATGAGGCATTTGGGGGTTTCCCAAAATTAGGGGTACCTTGTTAAAGGGGTTATATAGGGGTAATATAGGGGTTATATAGGGATAATGGAAAAGAAAATGGAAACTACTATTTAGGGTTTAGGGTTTCCCAGAGAGAGAGGGTTTCCCAAAATGAGGGGTACCTTTTTGGGGGTCCCCATAATAAGGACTATAGTATTTTGGGGTCTATATTGAGGTCCCCTTATTTTGGGAAACTACCATTTGTCGGTCTGGTAGACGTTCACAGGTCGACAGTACCAGTTGCATGTTCGAGCAGATGTTTTTCTAGGAGTTTGGACTATAGCTCACATGAGGGCGGCAACCTTGTTAGCTTAAATGTTTCTGGCGCAGAGCCTGTTGGAAGTACACAGATGAGTGATGTGACTGAGTGACCATGCAGGCTCTGTGATGGTTCGCATGGCAAGTACAATGAGGCAAGTGTACATCACGTCAGCGTTCTAGCTGCTTTTGATGATATTAAAAAACCTTGCCTGACCTTACTATACTGGAGTACCATAAAGCCCAAGGTATATGGTACTTAGGGTCATGCAGGATTTTTACTATCCACCGTATAAGCCCTTATAAACTACCAGTTTCCATTTCATTTTCCATTTTCTTTTCCATTTTGATTCTCCATTATTGGGGTAATACCTCTAAACCCTTTTTGGCCTATATACCCCATATACCCTCTATACCCTATGTACCCTATATACCCTATATACCCAATATTACCCCAATTCCACCGTATCCACAAAAGGAAAGTGTGGTGGCATCTCCCACGTAGTGCAGGCTTGCTGCGACAACACTGGACCTTTGGTCATCTCCAAGGCTTGAGGCAGACCAGGTTTAGGGTTTAGGGTTTAGGGTTTAGGGTAATAGGAATACATTAGGTGGACCCCCCACCCAGTGATAGTGACTATAAGGGATAATACAGATTATATTAGGGTCCTCATATATTCTTGTTATACCACTACTACAGGGTGGGGGGTCCTCCTAAGGAATATAGTCCCCCTTAAGTAGGGTTTAGGGTTTAGGAATATAGGGTTTAGGGGTTCAGAGGATTATATAGGGGTTATGTTAGGGTTATATAGGGATAATGGAGGAGAAAATGGAAACTACTATTTAGGGTTTGGGGTTTAGGGGTATAGTCCCAGTTAGGAAGATAGAATATAGGGTTTAGGGGTTAAGTAGATGATAGGGGATAGATTGGGGTTCTATAGGGATATTGGTCCTCCTAAAACGGTTAGGTGGGTTTGGTTAGGAGGGTCACTCAATAGGCTGTGCGTTCGCACCTTTCAGTCATGCCTGTTCAGGACTGCCAATCAAGTGTTCATTTGTGTTTGTAGGTTGCCGTTTTGGCGAAAAGAGCTGTTCAGCTAACCAGAGACTGACAGCTCGAAGGAAAAAGGAAGCTCTAGGGCCTGGGAAGTGAGCCATGGGATCTCCGTGGGAGCGACAGAGCTGAATGGCGATGAGCCGTCCGAGGCGATCGCAGGCGAGCTTCCCTCCGATCCCGGAGCAAGCCAGCTGCGCAGCCGCACAACCTGCTCAGGAAGAAGATCAAGAAGAGGATCTGAGCAAGCTGCCCAAGTACTTCTCGTGGGAGCAGCAGCCTGCCGGATCCGGCGATCCTTGGGCGC